TCAAAATGACTGTATTTTTATATCTGATAATTACAAAAATGCTGAAAAGTCTGTCTTTAATAGAATTTATGTTGGAAGAAATAATATATAAATTAAAGTGTACAGTAGTAATACATTTCATTTTCAGGTGGATTTTGTAAGCAGATAGTTGGTGATTTTTCAGTCTGTCTATTACAGGCAGATATCACAGTCTTGGGTTTTGTTGCAAAGAAAGATGATAGTGACCAAGGTGTATCATGAATAGTAACTTAAAATCGTGTACTTGCCTGTGTGATACAGTTAGTTTCTAACTCTCTGACCTTGGGTAAGTAACCTGGCGTCTTTGAGCCTCAGGATTTTGTTTTGTTCTATGTGTGCTGTCTGTAAAATAGAAATAACAATGGTATTTATCATTGTAAGGATTCATCAGTTTATGTAAAATCATTGTCATGGTGTCTGGCACACAACAATTAGTGTGTGTTAGCTTTTATTATTATGGTGATATTATTATTGCTGTTTTGATTGACCTAAAGCAAGGCACCATTAGTCCAAGATTTCCTCACATCTTGAAATCCCTAGTAATTTTTCTGCAAATCCTGTATGTAAGAGCGTGATTAAACCATATATTGTGTGCAGGCTTACTTTTTGCTTATCTTTGTGTTGGCTTTGTCAGGGTTAGGGACCTAACGTGTAGAAGACCATCTGTGTGAAGAGAGCATAGCTTTTGCTAATAACTGCTGGCATCCCTCTTGGATTTTGCAAAATCTGACCAGGATATCCACAATTGCCAAGTTCAGCTAAAGCATGCCTTGCAGTCAGCAAAGATTGTTTCTGATAAGCTTCCTATTTAAGATTGTTTAGGACTGCGGAAGACCTTAGGGGTGACTTCGTTGCATAGCAGTAATACACAGTAAGAGCTGTCAGTTAATATATTCTCTGATTCATGAAAGATGTATTATTTTATCATGGCACAAGTTCTGCCAAGTTGCTGTCTTTAAAGATATAGTCAGAATTTGAATCAGAACACAGGGTATGAGTGAGTCAAAAGAATCACTGTCACCACTATCAGAATAAAACCAAGGGCTTGAAAAGAATAAACTACTGCCACTAATAACAACGTGCATGTATTTCAAATGAATTTTGCTGAATGACAGAAGCAAGACTCAAAAAGCACATGTATTTATATGACATTATAGAAAAGGAAACATCAGTAGGTACCAGGATCTGGTGCTAGGAGCAGAGAGAGGGTGGATTACAAAGGGGCACAGGAATAGTTGCGGCATGATGGAAATATTCCATATCTTGACTGTGGTAGTGGTTATGTCAGGGGTCCCCAGCCCATCGGCCACAGACTGGTACTGGCTGATACATAGCCTGTTTTGGATGGGGTCGCACAGCAGGAGGTGACCGGTGGGGCAGATGAGCAAGCAAGTTAAGCTTCATCTGTATTTACAGGTGCTCCCCATCAGTCACATTATCATCTGAGCTCTACCTCCTGTCAGATCAGCAGCAGCATTAGATTCTCATAGGAACTTGAACCCTATTGTGAACTGCACACGCGAGAGATCTAGGTTGCATGCTCCTTATGAGAATCTAATGCCTGATGATCTCTCACTGTCTCCCATCAACCCCAGATGGGACTGTTTAGTTGCAGGAGAACAAGCTCAGGTTTCCCGCTGATTCTGCATTATGTTGAGCTGTATAATTACTTCCTTATATATTACAATGTAATAATAATAGAAATAAAGTACACAATAAATGCAATGTGCTCAAATCATCCTAAAACCATTCCCCTCCCCCTGCCCCAACCGTCAATGGAAAAATTGTCTTCCATGAAACCAGTCCCTGGTACCAAAAAGGTTGGGGACCTATGGGTTACATTTTCACGTGCATTTATCAAAACTCCTGGAACTATACACCAAAAAGGGTGAATTTTACTGTTTAGAAATTATGCTTCAATCATCTGGCTTAGAAAAGCAAAATAAAACAAACAGCTTACAACATTGATGCAGGGGAGTATTTCTTCGGAATATGAAGGACAGCGTATTCCTGTATCTTCCTCTGAAATGTTAATAGGTTTCTTATGTATTTACTATACATTTATTTTTACTTATTACAGTTGGAAAGTCACATTTTTATCCCACAAGGTATTTAAGTTTTATCTCTTTCTCCTTATAAGCGGTAATTGCTTAAAAATTACTTAGGTTTTTAAATTTCATGGAGTATCCTGCATGTGTATCATATACCATTCCGGATGCTTCTGGTCACATGTAACACTTAGCCTGGCCTAAACAAGAATGAAGTTTATTGTCTTCATTCCTGTGGTTGTGGACTGGCTGCTCATAACACTTAAGCCTACATATACTGTCATTCTCTGGGAGCCCCAAAAAGAAATGTCTCCCGTTGGCTCTGCCTTAAGGGAAGGAAGCTTCCTATTGCCAAAGCCTTCAGTGTATATTTCCTCATACCTCATTGTCTCCGGAACCAATCACTATGTACTTGGATTCTTACATTATTCAGGGCCCCACCTTTTGATCTGGAAACAAAGTCTATTTCCCCAGAGGAATTGGCTGTATAGTAGTAATATATACACTAACCCAATCTGGATACTAATAAGAAATGAGGGGTGGGAAATATGCCAAGCTAGCAACCAGCAATGCCAGAACATTATCCTGAATTGTATTAAGTTAAGCCAAAACTTTGCCTAATTGTGGAATTAGGTGACTCCATCTTATTTCTGTATTTCTGAGACCACTAATTATTTAAACATTGTTATATTGCTTTACCTGAGGACTTCACATAAAAATACCTCATTTCAATGCCACTGTAAGAAACAACACATTAACTTTACATGTTAGAATGGATCTTGTGTGTAAAGTGTAAAGCATGAAGTAGCATGTGATGAACACAGTGAAGTAGTCATAGGATTTAATAGCATTTATACACAGTTTAAAATATAGTGTTTATACCAAAGTTAGACCCTGCCTTAAAATATGCTTTGGTCTCCTTTGCTTCTAGAGTTTTGCCTAAACTTTCATGATACTTTATAATCTCCTACAGAGAAAGGGTATTTCAGTGAAGTACTAGATAGAAAGTTTTCACTACAAATATTTATGTTTGAAAGATAAAATACCTTCCAGTATGATGAAGCCCAAGGGCTTTGAATAGTTGAAGAAGGCTCTATGGACAAGAATGGAAATTCAGCAGTCAAAACGAAAAGTGTCTTAGACACCTAGAGAGCTACAATCGCAAAAGCATATGCCAGGCAGAGAGGATGGAAAGAAGAAAGGTTTAGAGATGGCCAGAGGCGCTTTTGGATAATAATCAAACATGCATTTGAATGATGTGTTTGGAGAAATGGGCCTGTGATGATAGAATGAGAAGGAAGTTTGAGGAAGTGAGTAGAGGTTTGAATAACCCTGAATATGCATAGTATGGACTTTACCCTGTCAATGAGAGGAAGACTACTGAAGGCTTTTCTATGAAAGTAGAATTACATGTGCAATGTTTTTTTTTTACAAGTTTAGAATTTTCTTTTCACTTGAAGATAAATAGCCCTAGAGAAGTACATGGAAGGATATACACTTGCATATTTTTCTCAGAGCAGAAATTTTAGCATGTACATTAGAAAGAATTCCACAAAACAATTGACAAAAGACAAAAATAAAAACATTCATTAGACAATGGCTATCTGGAAATACTCTTTCTTTTTAGTATTCAAAGAATTAATTCATTCTTGACAATGCTTTATAAATATGAAACAAAGGAAAGTTTTAGAAAGATTCCTCATACAACAATATACAAGTTAAATTAGAGCCATAAAATATTGGAAGATTATTTGATAGCTATTGATTGGTGGGGGGTTGAGGAGAGATGAGCAAAACAGGGTGGCAGTGTTGAGAGCTTAAAGGATAAATGCTAAAGACATAGTATCATAAATAGGACTTGGCAGCAGTCAGGATCCCATAGAGAACTAAGTTTACACTAATTCAAGATTTCAAAGGCAGCTAACTGTACCATTACCAGGAAGAGAAAATTAGGAGTTAGTAGTAGGGTAGAGGTTTCTCAGAAAAGATGAATTTGGTCTTGGGTTGTCAGCATGTCAAAGTAGTCATACGTGTCCAGCAATAGTTGAATAGTTAGGTATGTGATTGCTACTCATTCATTCATTTGTTGAGCAATTTTGTATTGAGTACCAGTGTTTTTATTGAAGCATTGTAGTAAGCACAGGAGACATAGCAGCTAATAAGAAAAAAAAGTTCTGTCATCATGAAACTGGCAGGATTATATAAATATATTTAAGGATTAAATAAATACATATTGAAGAAATAAAGTGGGATTTAATTCAAAATAATATGGGCAGACAGGTGAGGGGGAGCATAAATGAAACAAGATTAACAGTGAGTTGATAGTTGTGGAATCTCATTGATGGGCATGTAGGGGTTCACTTTACTATTTTCTGTATTATTTGATTGAAGTTTTTCTTCTTCTTTTTTTGTTTTTTGGAGATAGGGTTTGCTCTGTTGCCCAGGCTAGAGTGCAGTGGTACAGTCATGTCTCACACAGCCTCAACCTCCTCCCAAAGTTTTGGAATTATAGGCATGAGCCACTGCAGCTGGCCTAATAAAATATTTTTTAATAAAAATTTAGTGTATAAAGCTGATAATTAGACAAGATGTCTGAGTGGTGAATTTCCAAAGTATAGCCTGAGAAAGATGGAAAAATGAAGAAAGGATAATGCTAGGAACCGAAAAAGATAAAAAAATTTCCGGGAAAAGGGTAGATACAATAGCGGTAACTGCTGTAGAGGTCAGAGGAGAAACTATAGCTTAAATCCAGCTGCTCGCTAATTTCTCCTTTTGTTCATTTCTTATCTGACATCTCTTGATGGCTGGAAGAACTGGGTAACTGAGAAGCTTGAGAAAACTGTTTTGATCAAATCATTTGAAGACGTGATTTTTTCTTTAGAAATATTGTCCAAAGTTTTTTTCCTAATGTGTGAATATCTGTTCAATTTTTAGGAGACTAATGAGCAAAAACTTCACAAAATAGCCAATGAACTTTTGCTTACTGAAAGAGCTTATGTCAGCCGGCTAGACCTCTTAGATCAGGTAAGATTTTGTTTCTCAGAATTATTTTATGTTTTTGCATTGTACATCGTTTTAACCTAGTAATTACAGTATTTTAGAAACTGCATGAAGGGCGGGCCTGCGTTTGGCTAGTGAAAGGTTCTTGCTCAAGTAAATCTCTAGCACTTTCAGCTTTGTCAGTGAATTCACTAGGTATAAGCATTTTCTAATTTGTGAAGAATAGAGGTGTCTCTCTATATGAATCACAAAATCTGTTTATCAGTGTCCTATAACTTAAACACTAGTCTATTTCTCGACCTTTCATTGTCATCCTGGGGACCATGTTACCATTATATTCTAAATAAGATACTGATGATTCTGGCTGGGCGCGGTGGCTCACACCCGGAATCCCAGCACTTAGGGACCAGCCTGGACAGCATGATGAAACCCTGTCTCTACTAAAGATACAAAAAAATTAGCTGGGCGTGGTGGTGCATGCCTGTAATTCCAGCTACTTGGGAGGCTGAGGCAGGAGAATCGCTTGGAATCAGGAGACAGAGGTTGCAGTGAGCTAAGATCACACCACTGCACTCCAGCCTGGGCAATAGGGCGAGACTCCATCTCCCAAAAAAAAAGATGCCTTAGTTTTCAAAAGTTATTCTTACATTCTTAGATTTTCCAAGTGTATATTTGAAATGCTACTCAAGGTTCCATGATAAAAGTACAAAACGTGATAAAGTAGATTCACACATTAAACAAATACTGGCTAGGCAACTTTATGCCAGGTACTGTATTAAATGTTTCATACAAGGTTGAACAAGTGAACTTTCAAAATCCTTCTGGCCCTATGACTACACCAGCTCAGATCATTTAGTTTCACCATGTTGGCCGGGCTGGTCTCAAACTCCTGACCTCATGATCTGCCTGCCTTGGCCTCCCAAAGTGCTGGGATTACAGACAGGCATGAGCCACTGCGCCTGGCCACGAAGGCATCTTAATCCTGTTTCAGCAATAAAGAATAGTACAAATGGTAGATTGCCCATACAGACTCCTTGTTAGAAGGGAAAGCTGCCATGTAGAATGTTACTTAGAAGAATTGTCCCACTTCTGCCACTGGAAACTGGAATTTCATGGAAACAGGCAATCCTGTGCATACCTCTTCATCGTCGGTTTCAGAAGTGAACTGCTTGCCTCTTAGGGTGAGCTGTGAGAAGCCATTTTAAGTCTTATGCTCTTTGAAGGAATGAGTTTATGGATCAGATCATTTTTGAAGAAATTTCACCATAAGCCAAAATCAAATCACGTCGTTTGTACCTTTGAAAGAACTTTCTTCCTTATGGGAATTACAGACCTGAAATTTTAGTATTCACGTAGTGGAGATATTTCTTTTCTCTTACCAAGTTGTGTGGTGTTTTTTTTTTTTAAGCCAAATAAGTTATCAGCTGCTGTTGCTGAACTTTTAGAATTCTAGAGTCCTAATTACTACAGTAACCTAACTATTGGAGCCTCTAAGTCTAAGGACATAATTTTGTGTTCTTTTTGCCTTTCAAGAAAATGCAGTGGAGGTGAATTTAGAAAATTGACAACCATCTGGACATTATGAAGGAATAGACCTCCTTCTGCCTACATGTAACAGAATGGCAATTAAGAGGTATAATAGCCCTAGTGAAGTATAGCTAAGACCGAAGGCTTGTGTGGGTTTTTTTTTTTTTTTTGTCTTTGAGGTATGTGTTGTGTGTAGAAAGAGACTTTTCTCCCTACATATCTATGTTTTAAGTTACTGTGCATTATTATTTACTAAAAGCAAGTAAATAGTCGAGAATTGATATATTCCTTTGTCCATTCACTGGCCAGATATTATGCACTTGTTCTGTTGTGGGAACTAAATCATGATATTCTTCTTTCCCAAGGAGCATACAGTTTTAATAGGATAAATGACATTTATGTCAGCAAACTACAATAAAGGGAAATATGTCATAAGTGCCATAGAAGTCTTTCAAAACATAAAGAGAAGTGAGAAATAACACAATTATTGTGTGTACATAAAGTATTTTCACATTTCTTAACTCTGGCTTATGGATAGGAAGGATAAATTCTATTAACCTCAGTTGGAAATTTTCTGGCACAGAAAGATAAGTTATTCGCCATAATATTCCTATTGATGGGAGCATAGCCTAGATTAGAATCAAAGTTTCCTAATTCTTATTCCTGAGTTTTCTAAATCAAAGCATATATTCACTCCTAAATTTCCAATGATGGATTTCTTGAACCGTAAACTTTTCCATTTGCTCAATAAAAGTTCCTACGAGCCCACTATGTGCCCAGCACAGTGCTGGGTGGTTAACTACTAAATGTGAAGTAATGCTTGCATTATTCTTTTATTCAGGTATTTTATTGCAAACTGTTGGAAGAAGCAAACCGAGGCTCATTTCCAGCAGAGATGGTGAATAAAATCTTTTCTAATATTTCATCAATAAATGCCTTCCATAGTAAATTCCTCTTGCCAGAGCTGGAGAAACGAATGCAAGAATGGTAAGAGGAGTAGATAGAAAATGGTATGTTTAAGGCAGTCATGTAAGATGCTGTATTTTTCAGCTTTTAAATTGAAATAAAAATGCCACACACAACTGTAGCTAGACATTTATGCTAAATGTTTGCATTGAAGACCACTGTTAGATGCTGTGGTACAAAGAACTTCATGTCTGCTCTCCAAACTATCATTTGACTAGTGAAGACAAAATATCGGGTAATGTGTAGCTTCAAGAATTCTAGAGCATCTCTCTTTGCTATGTCATTCCTATAGTCCCTTTAAAAAGGTGCTGAGTCGTTCTCTACCTGCCTCACAGTATGGTGAATGAGATAAAGCACAGGGTGTGATTACTTCCTCTCTAGTCCTGTCAATTTGCTCATTCCATAAGAAATCTTAATGTACCAGGCATGGTGGCTCATACCTGTAATCCCAGGACTTTAGGAGGCCAAGGCAGGTCACTTGAGCCCAGGAGTTCAAGACCAGCCTGGGTAACATGGTGAAACCCCATCTCTACAAAATATACAAAACACTAGCCAAGCGTGGTGGCATGCACCTGTAGTCCCAGCTACTAAGGGGGCTGAAGCTGGAGGATTGATTGACCCTGGGAGGTCGAGCTTGCAGTGACCTGTGATCATGCCACTGTACTATAGTCTGAATGACAGAATGAGACCCTGTCTCAAAAAGAAAAGAAAAAAAAAGAAATTTTAATGACTTGTTTTTCTATATTTGATACAGGGAAACTACCCCTAGAATTGGAGATATCCTTCAGAAATTGGCACCATTTCTTAAGATGTATGGAGAATATGTGAAAGGATTTGATAATGCAATGGAATTGGTTAAAAACATGACAGAACGTATTCCCCAGTTCAAATCATTGGTTGAAGAAATTCAGGTAATAGGACTGTTTCATTCAAAGCTATGAATTAATATTTCCATACAAATTATATAGTCTTCTAGATCTAAAATTGCGATCTAGAGATCTGTCCGAGATACCTAGCCAAAATGTATTCTACTCTGAATTATCGGAGATCATCTTTGCAAAACTGAAATGTATACCAGTCACATGCTGCATACTAAGCAATAACGTCTCCATTTGCTTTTGAGGCCAGCAGAGGATGATTTTTATTAGGGTCTACATAAATTTACAAAATGAGTTTTCTTTCAGGTCTGTGCCTCTTTTGCATTCTTTCTGAGGTTGAGTTATTGAAAGGAATATAAATGAATATAAAGAATGATTGCTGTAAACCCCAAGATTTTGGAAACTAACCATTCTTTTTTTTTGTCACTTGCTATCTATAGCCTCATTTTCTTCTGTTTCACCAAACCTAAATAATACACTTTAATAATACCATAATAATTTCCACTTGATTTTCTAGTCAAAATTATTAATATCATATTCTTTGATACAGTTTAAATATTGAAAAGGCATATTTTAGGTCATCTAAGATTCCTGGTGTGGGAATTCTTTTGTTCTTTGATTGTCTTCTTTTGTCTCATATGAATTTTTTTAATTGTACCATTTTAATTCCTCTAATTGTCAAATTATTTTTTGAGTTATTTTATAATGGTTGCATTTAGGATTATGGTATGCATCTTAATTTTTCAGATGTACTTCAGATTATACTCACTTTAATTCTTGTAAAATGTAGACACTTTGTTCCAGTATAGCTCTGTTCCCTCGTCTGTGCTCTGTGCTATTCGTGTCCTGTGTATTACGTTTTTGTATGTTGTGGGTCTATAATACAGTGCTATAATTGTTAAGGAAGGGTATGAGAAAAAAATATAAGTCTATTTTATGTTAACTTTTATATTTGCCCGTTTTGGAGTAACTTTCAGCATAAGTGATTGTTGTTTCTTATAAAGCAGGCCAACTAGCAATGAATTCTGTCAGTCTTTGTCTGGGACTATACTTATTTTTTCTTGACTTTTGAATGAATGAAGAATGAAATTCAGTTTTGCTAGATTCTGAATTCCTGGTATATGGGTTTTCCTTTTTTATTTTATATTTTGTTTTTATAATTTTTATTATTTTTTTAGAGACGAGGTCTTGCTCTTGTCACCCAAGCTAGAGTGCAGTGGCTCAGTCACAGCTCACTGCAGCCTTGAACATCTGGGCTCAAGCAATCCTCCCACCTCAGCCTCTCAAGTAAGCTGGGACTGCAGGCATGTGCCACCGCCCTTGGCTAAATTTTAGATTTTTTATAGAGACAGAGACTTGCTGTGTTGCCCAGGCTGGTCTTGAACACCTAGACTCAGCATCCCCAAGTGCTGAGATTGTAGGCATGAGCCACTGCACTCAGCCAGTATATGGGATTCTTCCCCAGGACTTTGAATATGTCATTCTCCTGCTTTCCATCCTCTGTGGTTTCAGACAAGAAACCAGCCATTGATTGTATTGATACTCCCATGCATGCGATGAGTCACTTTTTTCTTGATGCTTTCAAGATTTTCTGTTTTTGGCTTTCACCAGTTCGAATATGATGTATCTGGGTGTGGACCTTTTTGTATTTTTCCTAGTTAGGGTTGGTTGACCTTTTTTAAAAAAATCATTTTCAGAAGTTTTCAGCCATAATTTCTTCAAATATTTTCTGTCTTTTTCACTTTCTCTCTTTTTTTTTAATCTTTTGACTTCCATTACACAAATTTTGGTGGGTTCCTTCTGTTTGTTTTAGAGATGGTGTCTTGCTATGTTGCCTAGGCTGACCTTGAATTCCTAGATTCAAGTGATCCTCCCAATCTTTCTTCGGTTATTCAAATTCTTTAATTTCTACTAGTCTTTCTTCAAGTTCCCTGATTCTTCTGTCATCTCAAATCTGCTGTTGAATCTATAGTGAATTTTTCTTTTCAATTATTATATTTTTCACATCCACAACCACAACATCTAGCTAGTGGAGTTACTAGCTCTCACCGCCTACTCACTTCAGGGATCTTCACTTCTACTGATGTTGTTGGGTGTGTGTGGTGCCCACCACTCCAAATTGAATGAGCCCTTTTCAGCCTTAGCAGAAGAGCCACTCACCAGTCCTCATAGCCCATGCCACCCTGGAAGCCCCTTTGTAGTGACTGAGCTGGGAGAGGGACAGGAGCAGCCCCAGGCTAGAATGCCACAGATTCTCACCACTCTTACCCAAAGTTCAACAGTTTTTAAAGTGTAAACGCATTCCAGATTGTTGCATAGCTTTTAATCAATTTCTAAGATGCTTTTATTATTTTGTCAATTTTATCTAGCTTTATAGCGGCTTTTATTTTATTTTTTTCATTTTTTTGAAGGTAGAGTCTCGCTCTGTCACCCAAGCTGTAGTGCAGTGGCATGATCTTGACTCATTGCAACCTCTGCCTCCTGGGTTCAAGCAATTCTCAGGCATCAGCTTCCCAGATAGCTGGGATTACAGGTGTGTGCCACTACACCTAGCTAATTTTTGTACTTTTAGTAGAGACAAGGTTTTTCCATGTTGGCCGGGCTGGTCTCAAACTTCTGGCCTCAAATGATCCCCCCATCTCGGCCTTCCAAAGTGCTGATATTACAGGCATAGGTCACTGCACCCGGCCTATAACTGCTTTTAACAGGGAGGATTTGTCAGTCTCTTCATTCAGCTATAGCCAGAAGGCCTACCTCATACCCTTCATTCCTTTTTTTTTTTTTTTTAACATTCTTTTCTTTTGTAATTAAACACTCAACCTACCTTACTGAATACTGGGTTCCTCCTTTGATTTTTACCAGCTTCTTTTGCTAATACTGAAATGTGGGCAGAGCAAAAGAGCTTGCCTTCTACGATCTTCTTTCTTTTTCTACTTTTCATTCATGTCCTATTCCCACCTGCCTCTTTCTTGCCAGGCAGATTTCCTCTAGGGTCACTGTTCTAGTCTAGTTCTCTACTCCCAAACTCCAGGTACAAATGGCCAAGCATGTGAATGAACATCTTGTCATACAAATAAAGTCAACATTTTATTTTCCTATTTTTAGCTCCCAAGCATTTTTCCATCTGACTTTTTAGGTCTTGCACAGAGTAGATAATTATTCCGATATGTATTGGATTTAATAGGTGACACCATTATCCTATCATTCACCAGAGCTTGACAACTTGGCTTTGTCTTTGATTTGTTACATTTCTTCATTCTCTGTATGTGTTCATTTGCCTGTGAAATAAAGTATTCGAAGTGCTTAGCATAGTGCTTGTTGCATAGTAATTGCTCACTAAATGATGGTGATGATGGTAGTTACTGTCTTATCACATTCTGAATTCTGTCTCTGTAATGTCTATCTTCTCCATATTATGACGAAATGACATGGGTTGTGAGAAGAGTCATAGATTAGGAATCAACTAACCTAGTTTAGAATCCTGGTCTGCCACTTATAGTCACTTGACCTTAGAAAACTCTCCTAAATTATCGGAGCCACAGTTTCTTCATGTGAAATATTTGGGATCAGTAATACTTTCCTTGATGTACATAATAGATTAGGGGAAAATCAAATGAGATATTTAAATTTATAGAATGAATATCTTAAACCTAATGAAGGAAAGCCATTATTCTCTCAGTTTCTATGCCAATTTCAGGCCCTTATTACTTTCTTCCCGGTCTCTAATAACAACTTCCAAACTAGTTCCCCTGTCTCCCCAAAGCCACACTGCAGTAGGTTAATCTAATAGAGCTCAGATCTAATGATACAACTGTCATGCACAAAAATCTACATTAGATGAAAAAACTCTAAACTCACCTTGACATCATGACCTCATATTGCCTTTAGGTTACATCTTCCATTTCCTTCTACTTACCTTATTTGCCAAGAAAACCTCTCTGCTCCTTTCATTGAACATATTTCTTGCTTCATTACTGTGGGCCTGTTCTCAGGTTTCTCCTCCTGGGCTTGCTCCCTAGTCTGTCTTTCTCTCCAAAGCCTGCACTCATCAGAGGTTGTGTTAAATGTTCCCTTCTCTGTGAAGCCTTTATTTACTTGTTTGCTTCAAATACAAACACGTCTTAATATAGCTTTGATGCCCTGCAGTGCCCTGATCATGGTGTGAGTTCAGTATATATTTTAATGGGATTTCTGCTTTGTTTAACAGGAACAAGAACATTTCTTATTTTTTCCTCTCGTGTTAACAGCTTCTTGAGAGCAAGTGATACAGACTCAATTTTGCCCTAAGAAGTGGAGGTCTATTTACAAAATTTGGTTTCTAATGAAAAAGAATGCTTTGAACTAATGAAATAGTAAAATTTTCTGACAGATAAAAGATGCCCAGATCTTGTTCTTCTATATAGAGTCTTTTTTAAGTTCAAAGGAAATGACATTTATCATAGCCTTGTTATGAAATAGTTTCTGCTGAGTCCAAAGTCATTTAATACAGTTGTTCTTAGCAGACCTCATTAAATAGGCACATCTTTTAAAAAATCTCTATAGAATGGTTTAATAATGTGACTTCACAAACCCTTGTAGTGACTAATTGAAGTGGTTGTCAGCAATCTGGAATTTTCTTGCTCAAAATTCTGCTTGAATTTTTTCCCCTCCTTTCTGTGTGCTTTTTTTTTTTTTTTTTTTTTTTTTTCTGAGATGAACTCTCACTCTATCACCCAGGCTGGAGTGCAATGGCACGATCTCGGCTCACTACAACCTCTGCCTCCCAGGTTCAAGCAATTCTCCTTCCTCAGCCTTCCGAGTAGCTGGGATTACAGGTGCATATTACCATGCCTAGCTCATTTTCGCATTTTTAGTAAAGATGAGGTTTCACCATGTTAGCCAGGATGGTCTCGATCTCCTGACCTTGTGATCTACCAGTCTCAAACTTCCAAAGTGCTGGGATTACAGGTGTGAGCCACGGTGCCCAGCCCCCACCTTTCCTGTTCTTAAACCAGATAGTCCTCAACTTCAATGTTATAGAAATATCGGGTGTTTTTAAATGCATATTCTCTAGCTGAGCATAGTGTCACGTGCCTATAGTCCCAGCTACTTGGAAGGCTGAGGTGGGAGGACCACTTGGGTCAAGGAGGTCAAGGTTGCAGTGAGAGCATACCACTGTATGCCTGGGCAACCGAGTGAGACTGCATCTCAAAAAAAGAAGAAAAAAATGCATATTCTCCATCTCCTTCCCCAAATATTGTGATGTTGTAGATTGAGGTGGGGTTCAGCAATCTGCTTTTTTTTTTTTTTTTTTTTTTGAGACAGGGTCTTGCTCTGTCACCCAGGCTAAGTGGCAAAATCTCAGCTCACTGAAACCTGTGCCTCCTGGGTTCAAGCAATTCTCCTGCCTCAGCCTCCTGTGTAGCTGGGACTTACAGGCACGTGCTACCATGCCTGGCTAATTTTTGTATTTTTGGTAGAGGTGGAGTTTTGCCATGTTGGCCAGGTTGGTCTCGAACTCCTGACCTCAAGTGATCCACCCGCTTCAGCCTCCTAAAGTGCTGGGATTACAGTTGTGAGACACTGCTCTCGGCCAAAAATCTGCATTCTAAACAGCAGCCCAGATACGTCTAATGCAGGTGATGGACAGTCACACTTTGTTGAAGAATACTGCCCTTGATGATAGTTCCGTTTTACAGTGAGTCTCTAGACTTGATAACCTAACCTAATTTTTAAATGTTTCTTAGAAAACCTTTCTCATTACAGAAACAAAAAATCTGTGGGAGCTTAACTTTGCAGCATCACATGCTAGAACCTGTTCAGCGGATTCCCCGGTATGAGATGCTCCTTAAGGACTATCTAAGGAAATTGCCTCCTGATTCCCTGGACTGGAATGATGCTAAAAGTAAATGCTATTTTTGTTTTCTCCCTATTATGGAATAATCAAGTGGCAAAGCAGCCTTATGGTTTCAAAGGGAAGTATATCTCACAGCTACTTTAGTCAAATGTTGCTATTAGAAGATAATTTCACTGGAAATTGTTATCAACACCTCAGTTAGGCAAGTCACTTTTGAGCCAAAATGACAAGTTTAGAGCAATCCAAATCACATTTCTTTTGCTGGTTTCATGTTAGTCACTGGCTCTGAAATATAAAATTACAGTCTTAAAGACATCTAGAATAGCAATACACAATTTCCTTCTCAGAGGAAGAATACAGCCATTCAGAATTACAAGTGCTGCTGTTTAATTAGACAGGTTGGTGCATGCCAAGAAAGCTAAGGTGACATTTACTATGTAAAAATAACCTAAGCAGAGTTGGCTCTACCTGCCCTAACATTCCTACCATAACAGGAAATGGTGATTTTTATTGTCCAATAACATTTTCTCCAAAAACTTTATTTCACTTCTGTTAGATTATCTTATTTTTTATTAGATTGTAATGAAAGGGTTTTGTTTTTGCTTTTGACGGAATCTTGCTCTGTTACCAGGCTGGAGTGCAATGGCATGATCTCTGCTCACTGCAACCTCCACCTCCCGGGTTTAAGGAATTCTCCTGCCTCAGCCTCCTGAATAGCTGGGTTTACAGGCGCACGCCACCACGCCCAGCTAATTTTTGTATTTTTAGTAGAGATGGGGCTTCACCGTGTTGGCCAGGATGGTCTCCATCTTTTGACCTCACGATCCACCAGCCTCGGCCTCCCAAAGTGCTGGGATTACAGGCGTGAGCCACTGTGCCCGGCTGAAAGGGCTTTTTTTTTTTTTTAAGGCTTATGAGTTTCAATAATACTTTGCTTTTTCATGCACTTTTGCAAATCAATCAACTGTAAAGTCATGAATGAAAATTTAAGAAATAAGAATGGCTTGATATTCAACAAACAGTAATGGTACTTGTGTATAACCTTAAAACATTGCTACTTTCCCTTATAATTTATTGTTTTCTGTCGTAAGTGAATCTTGATGAGAGATGAAGTACATAAAACGTTATTTTTTGTTGTGGATTGTTAGCCTTTTCTTTTTTGTTTTTACTTTGAGACTAAGTCTCTCTATGTTGTCCAGGCTGGAGTGCAGTGGCATGATCTCTGCACTCTGCAAAGATCATGCTCACTGCAACCTCCACCTCCCTGGCTCTCCCTAGTTCAAGCGATTCTCCTGCCTCAGCCTCCCGAGTAGCTGGCATTATAGGCACCTACCATCATGCCTGGCTAATTTTTTGTATTTTTAGTAGAGATGAGGTTTCACTGTGCTAGCCAGGACAGTCTCAATCTCCTGACCTCATGATCTGCCCACCTCATCCTCCCAAAGTGCTGGGATTACTGGCGTGAGCCACTGCGCCCAGCTAGCCTTCTCTTTTTTTAATTTTTACTTTTTTGAGAAAGAGTCTTACTTTATTGCTCAAGCTGGAGTGTAGTGGTGTGATCTTGGCTCACTGCAGCCTCCACCTTCTGTTTTCAAGCTATTCAGCTGATTTTTGTAATTTTAGTAGAAACGTGTTTTCACCATGTCACCTAGGCTTGTCTTGAACTCCTGACCTCAGATGATCCACCCACCTCAGCCTCACAAAGTGCTGGGATTACAGGCATGAGCCACCATGCGTGGCTCTGATCCTTAGCCTTTTCTTGAACACAAGCTGTTTCAGATAGGTCTCCCACCATTTGAGTGACTACCACAGAAACTTCTCTTCTCCATTCGCCCTTTCCATACTATAGAATGAACTTGACTTCCCATCTCAAACCAACTATTTCCTAGGAACTCTGCCCTAGCTCCATTTTCTACCTATCTTACCTGACTGTTTGATTTGAGTGGCAGATCTAGTGGTGGGGGTGGAAGTGGAAACAGCACTGCTCTTCCTCAAACTCATCTCTAGAGCCATGGCTTTATCCCATTTTATTTTGTCTTCCTGGATCCTGGATCTTGTATCAAGTGCCCAGCATTGCCCATTCAGAATAGTTCTTTAAAATGTAAATTAAAATTTGGTTTCTTCTGTGCTCAGACTTTGGTACCCCTTAGATGCCCATATCAAAAATGAGGTGGTTGGTGACATGGTATGGCATTTTATTACTTTTCTTATTTGTTTATTTTTCCATTGCTACTTTCACTAAAATTCTTTTTTTTTTGAGACGCAGTTTTCGTTCTTGTTACCCAGGCTGGAGTGCAATGGCGCGATCTCAGCTCACCGCAACCTCCGCCTCCTGGGTTCAGGCAATTCTCCTGCCTCAGCCTCCTGAGTAGCTGGGATTACAGGCACGCGCCACCATGCCCAGCTAATTTTTTGTATTTTTAGTAGAGACGGGGTTTCACCACGTTGACCAGGATGGTCTTGATCTCTTGACCTCGTGATCCACCCGCCTTGGCCTCCCAAAGTGCTGAGATTACAGGCCTGAGCCACCGCGCCTGGCCCTTACTTTCACTAAAATTCTAAGGAAATCACAGAAGAAGGGCCTTTGGTGACCTGAAAGTAGGAAGGAAAGCAACAAAAGTGCATTCTATCCAGCAGTGCAAGGAAGACAAAAAATGTCAGTGAAAAGTCTCAGGGTTGTTGTGGTAACAGAATTAGGCAGGCAAGTATTCACAAAACAGAAAAGAAAGGACGAAAACGGGGCATGATTTAGGATTGAGAGGTTTTCCCTGGGGTCAGTCCAGCAAGAGGCCTCTTCGCCAGCAGTCCCTGGAGCCCCTGTGATGTCCACACCAAAAAGTTCCCATTCCCACCTGCCCCAGCAACAAAACCCTCCAACACTGACCCCTTTCACCCAACCCAGGCTAGAACTGTGAATGTATTTTCCCAAAGAAAATAAGCTATGCTTAGTAGTTAATTTGCTCATACAATTAGTAAAATGCTTACTACTGCTAAAATATTTTAGAACTTTTGAGTCAGAAACCTGGGTTTAAGTACGGCCCTCCTATAGCATAGCTCTGTGACCTTACCCAAGTTGTATTACTTCCCCATTTCATTCACCTGCCAAATGGAGCTAAAATACTTAACAGTTTAAGGCTGTATAAGAATTGACACTGTAAAAAAAAAAAAAAAAAAAAAAGAATTGACACTGTAATAAAGTACCTAGTATGGAGTTAGTGTACACTGTAAGTTTCAAAAACTTTGAGCATAGAAGAAACTGAGTTTTTGTTTATGTTTTGGAAAACTATTCTGATTTGGGCAGTTCTGTGCCCTCAATACAGGATCCAGGATAGAGGGAGACAAAATAAGTTGGGCTGGGGTCACTGCTCAAGAGATGAACTAAGGAAGACCAGTGATGTTTCTCTCTCTCCTTATTATTTATGATGGTTCATTATCTATTAAACCTGTGAGCCTAACCTTCATATATAACTTTGTAAGGAAAGATGAAGTTTCAAGTAGTCTGCTTACAAATGGAACTTTAGAAAGTATCCAATTTATAAATGGAAAATGCTACTATTTTAGTTGTATCTTTGGTCTCAGACTTTTTAGTAAGTTATTCAGCTATGTAGAAGCACGGGAAGGACAAAGCATATTTATTTACTTTTCTTTTTTTCCCATGTAGAATCACTTGAAATTATATCTACAGCAGCAAGCCATTCTAATAGTGCAATAAGAAAAATGGTAAGTGGTGTTCAGAGGAGATAGGAACCTTCTGATTAGACAACTGTCAGTAATACTGCCCAGATCTCTGTAGATTTGGACCAAAGTGAATTGAAACAGATGAACCAAAAAGAATGTTTACAAAATGTTTAATGTTATCCGGAATAACTCTCTGAACTTGCTAATAACTGATGCAATTTATATCAAAATGTATGCTTACTCCCAATCCCGTCTGAATTACAAGCTCAGAGTATTATTAAAGCTACTCAGTTGAAACCTGCTTGTATGCGATCTTGCTGTTTTGTTTTCTCATTTCCTAGGAGAACCTAAAGAAACTCTTAGAGATTTATGAAATGTTGGGAGAAGAAGAAGACATTGTAAACCCTTCAAATGAACTAATAAAAGAAGGACAGATCCTCAAACTAGCTGCTCGGAACACATCAGCACAAGAACGCTACCTTTTCTTAGTGAGTATTATACTGTTGGCAAGTCATATAAGAATTATATATAAAAATGTGGCTGGGCATGGTGGCTCATGTCTGTAATCCCAGCATGGGAGGCCAAGGCAAGCGGATCACCTGAGATCAGGAGTTCGAGATCAGTCTGGCCAATATGGCAAAACCCTGTCTCTACTAAAAAATAGAAAAATCAGCTGAGTGTGGTGGTAGTTGCCTATAATCCCAGCTACTCAAGAGGCTGAGGCAGGAGAATTGCTTGAACCCGGGAGCTAGAGGTTGCAGTAAGCTGAGATCGTGCCACTGCACTGCAGTCTGAACAACAGAGTCAGACTCCATCTGAAAAAGAAGGAATTATATATAAAAATAGTTGTATACAGTTTGGAAAAGTAGAATGTTGCCTTATTCACCAAAGCAATTACATCTAACCTGGCTTAGTCAACAATGTCTAGATTCCATTTAGGGAAGTATTCTAAGTAACGTTTTTTTGTAATTTTTCTGTATACTTGGTATGGAAGGCAGGCAGCAGTGACCCATCTGGAGTGATTGCTGCAACAATGCTGGCTGCAGTGAGGGAGGCATGGCCAGGGCAGCTACCCAGCTGCAGCTGCCGACCCAGGTGTTCCTGTACTCTCAGGGTCCTGGGAAGCCCCCTGTACACCTGCAGGCTCAGAAGTGCCTGCTCCCATTGCCTGGCCTCTCCCCACTCCCAATACCTGTTTCAATTTCAGAGCAAAGTTGGGGCCTAGCCTAGGTGGTACTGCAAACTGGCAGGGTGGGCACACACTTGGGGCAGTGCTGATGCGCCAACCCCCTGGTGCCCCTCAGTCCCCTTCAGACTTTGAGTGCCAGCAAGCTCGGGAGGGAGGCCAAGGGGGTGCTGAGGGTGGCCCAGTGCAGGCCTACAGGCACCTTTCAGCACAAACAGCCTGGGCATTGAGGATGGCAGATTGATGGCAGCTGGAGGCAGACAGGCTCCTGGGTGGAAAGAGACAGGTCTGCAGTGCAGCCCGCCTTCAGCCCTGGGACAGCCTCAAGCCTGGGGTCCAGACTGCCAGTTCTGTGGACCAGAGTGAGAACTTACGGTGCAATTTCCAGGCCTGCCCATGGCTGCCCATAGACCAATCGGCATGCACTTCCTTTCTTGTGAAGCCAAAAAAACCCTGGACTCAGCCAGACTTGGGCAGACGTTGGGATGACCTGCCTGTGGAGAGGAGCTACCCACTGTAGGTCTCAGCTATCCACTTCAGGTCTCTGGAGAGTTGTGCTGTCGCTCAATAAACCACCTCTTCACCTTACCCCCCAGTTGTCCACATACCTCATTCTTCCTAGATGTGAGATGAGAACCCAGGACCCACTGAATGGCAGGACTGAAAGAGCCGTAACACAAACAGGGCTGAAATACTCCCCCACTCGCCATGTTGTAGGCAACAAGAAGGAGAGAAGAAACAAGGAGAGAAGAGAGAAGCAGAGCAGAGCTGCCACCCTTTGTGGAGCCCAGACCTAGGAACTCCCTGAGCCAGGGCTATATCACCCTATTTGGGGCTCTGTTTCCTGGTGTCTCCAAGCTTGCCAGGTGCCAGCAGTGGAAGCCACTTGCAATACACATGGTCCAACTACAGCTTTGCAGGGAGCTGGCACCTATGCTGGTGCCTGGAACTGCTCCCTTTAGCTGAGCATAATGTATGTACCTGTAGTCTCAGCTACTTGGGAGGCTGAGGCAGGGGAATTGCTTGAACCCAGGAGGCAGAGGTTGCAATGAGCCAAGATCACACCACTGCACTCCAGCCTGGTGATAGAGCAAGACTTTATCTAAAAATATAATAATAATAAATAAATAAATAAAGACATCAGTTTGAAAAGAGCCCCTGTCAAAGCTTAATAAACATTAGCTTTCATTCTGATTGTTATTAGAGAAGCAGACACATGGGTGAAAGGCTGCCTGGCGAATGGCACACAATACATTCTTAGGATGTTATTCATGTCTGACTTTTCTACTGTGAGGCAGTCATCTCACCCAATATAGCGTGAGTTGTCATGGGGGCCTAGAGGCTTCTGTGTCTGTTTTCAGCCTCCATTGAAAGGAAAACTTAAGAACTAATTGTTGAGCAGAGAGGGGTGTTCAGTACAAGGGGTCTTGAAAAGTTCATGGAAAATGCATATTATAAAAAACTATGTGTAGATTTGAAAGCTTTTTTGCAACAAAATAAACTCATACTAACTTGTTATAACATGTCTACAGTATCTGGTTTGAGGCACTAAGAAGAGTAAGACATCAGTTTGAGGCCTGGCACAGTGGCTCATACCTGTAATACCAGGACTTTGGAAGTCAAGATAGGAAGATGCCTTGAGCTTAGGAGTTCAAGACCAACCTGGGCAACATACAGAGACTACCCTGTCTCTACAAAACACTAAAAAATTAGCTGGGCATGGTAGCATGTACCTGTAATCCTAGCTGCTTGAGAGGCTGAGGCAGGAGAAGCTCTTGAGCCAAAGAGTTCCAAGGCTGCAGTGAGCTATGATCATACTACCCAGCCTGGGTGACAGAGCTAGACCCTGTCTCAGAAAAATAAATAAATAAATAAATAATAGGCTGGGCACAGTGGCTCATACCTGTAGTCTCAGCACTTTGGGAGGCCAAGGTGGGCGGGATCATAAGGTCAGGAGATCCAGACCATCCTGGCCAACATGGTGAAACCCCTTCTCTACTAAAATACAAAAAATTAGCCAGGTGTGGTGGTACGCACCTGTAGTCCCAGCTACTCAGGAGGCTGAGGCAGGGGAATCGTTTCAACCCAGGAGCCAGAGGTTGCAACGAGCCAAGATTGTGTCATTGTACTCCAGCCTGGTGACAGAGCAAGACTCCATCTGTAAATAAATAAATAAATAAATAAGTTTGAAGAGCCCCTGTCAAAGCAACATGAATTTGGTTAAAATTGAAGCAAGAACAAACATCAAACATATGGTGAAGCTTGGATGCAAAAATGGTGAAATAATTGATGCTTCTTGAAAAGTCTGTGGAGAAAATGCACAAAGAAATGAGCAGTTTACAAATGGGTAACTGATTTTAAGACGGGACAAGACACTGTTGAAGATGAAACCTGTAGCAGCAGACCATCCACATTCTTTCACTAAGAAAAAATTCATCTTGCTCCTGCCCTAATTGAAGAGGACTGACAGTTAACAGCAGAAGCAGTAGCCAATACCATAGACATCTCAATTGGGTTCATCTTGCACAATTCCGACTGAAAAATTAAAGTTGAGCAACTTTCCACTGGGTGCCAAAAATGTCGCACCCAGATCAGCTACAGGCAAGAGCAGAACTTTTGGTGGAAATTTCAAATAAGCGGCATCAAGCTTCTAAAGCATTTCTACAATTTCTTAATTGTAATAGGAGATGAAACATGGCTTTCCCAGTACAATCCTGAAGACAAAACACAATCAGATCAATGGTTACCAACAGGTACAAGTGATCCAGTCAAAACGAAAGAGGTCCAGTCAAGAGCAAAGGCCGTGGCAAGGGTTTTTTCGGATACTCAAGGCAATATACCTGTTGACTTTCTTGAGGATGAAAGAACAATAACATCTGCTTATTTTGAGAGTATTTTGAGAAAGCTAACCAAAGATTTTAGCAGAAAAACACCAAGGGGAACTTCTCCAAAGAGTCCTTCTAAACGATGACAATGTTCTTGCTCATTATTCTCATCAAACAAGGGCAATTTTTTTGAGAGTTTTGACACAGAATCGTTAGGCATACATCTTACTGTCCTGGTTTGGCTCCTTTTCTTTTTGTTTCGTGATCTTAAAGAATCTGTAAAGGACACCCATTTTTCTTCAGTTAATAGTGTAAAAACTGCATTACCATGGTAAAATTCTCAAAACCCAGGGCTGGGCACAGTGGCTCACACTTCTTTTTTTTTTTTTTGAGACGGAGTTTCGCTCTTGTTACCCAGACTGGAGTGCAATGGCGCGATCTTGGCTCACCGCAACCTCGGCCTCCTGGGTTCAGGCAATTCTCCTGCCTCAGCCTCCTGAGTAGCTGGGATTACAGGCACGCGCCACCGTGCCCAGCTAATTTTTTGTACTTTTAGTAGAGACGGCATTTCACCATGTTGACCAGGATGGTCTTGATCTCTTGACCTCGTGATCCACCTGCCTCGGCCTCCCAAAGTGCTGGGATTACAGGCTTGAGCCACCACGCCCGGCCGGCTCACACTTCTAATCCCAGCATATTTAGGGAGGCTGAGGCAGGCAGATCGCAAAGTCACGACCAGCCTGACCCAATATGGTGCAACCTTGTCTTTACTAAAAATACCAAAATTAGCCAGGTGTGATGGTATGCACCTGTAATCCCATCTACTCAGGAGGCTGAGGCAGGAGAATCGCTTGAACCCGGGAGGCAGAGAGGTTGCAGTGAGCTGAGATTGCACCACTGCACTCCAGCCTGGGCAACAGAGTGAGACTCCATTAAAAAAAAAAAAAAAAAAATTCTCAGGACCCTCAGTTCTTTAGGATGGACTGAATGGCTGCTATCATTGATTACAGAATTGAACTTGGTAGAGCTTAGGTTGAAATAAAATATGTTTCTTTTAATTGCATTTCTCCACAAACTTTTTAAAGTTTTTTTGTATCAGTCATGTTTTTAAAATAACATTTGGTTGTTTTATGACCCAGCAGTTCTACTCCAAGTTTGTATAACTCAAGAAAATTGAAAACACATGTCTGCACAAAAACTTGCACGTTTGTCCAAAACAGCATTATTCATAATAGCCAAAAAGTTGAGACGACCTAAATGTCCATCAACTGAATAGGTAAACAAAACGTGGTATGTTCATGCAGTGAAATATTTTATGTCAAGAAAAAGGAATAAAAGCTTACATATGCTACATGGATTAACCTTAAAATGTTGTGTCAAGTGAAACGTGCCTGTTACAACAGATGGTGCTACTTATGCGAAGAGGCAAATGCAGAGACAGGATGTAATTAGTGGTTCCCTAAGACTAGTGGGGAAT